AAAAAATTTAAAAAAAAAATAAAAAAAAAAAAAAATCAATGGGGAAAAGGAAAAAAAAAAAAAAAACAAAGTCTATATTAAATAGGCAATGAAAACAGCAAAAAAAAAAAAATCAATGGGGAGGGGCTGGGGTTGTGGCTCAGTATAAAGAGCTCGCCGAGCACATGTGAGGCACTGAGTTTGAACCTCAGCACCACATATAAATAAATAAAATAAAAGTATTATGTCCACCTACAACTAAAAACATATTTTTAAAAAATCAACAGGGAAAAACTGAAAGCTTTCCCTTCAAGATCGAGCATAAAGAAAGAGTACCTACTCTCACCACCTCTCTTCAACACAGAAGTTCTACCCAGAGCAATCAGACAAGAAAAATAAATACAAGGCATACAAATCAGAAACAAAGAAGTAAAGTTATCTTTATTTGCAAAGGGCATGGTCCTGTATAGAAAGAACCCAAACACACACACACACACACACACACACACACAGAGTTAGAACTAATACGTTCAATAAATTTGCAGGATATAAAAGTAACATAGAAAAATCAGTTACATATCTATATAAAATAACAATCAATCTAATAAAGAAATCAAGAAAATTATCCCATTTATGATAGCATATAAAATTAAAACAGGAAGAAATTTAATCAAGAAGATAAAAGATCTGTACCTCTATTCTGAAAACTAAAAGACAATGATGAAAAAAAATGAAGAAGAAACAAATGAAAAGATACTCCCTATTCATGGACTGAAGGAATTAATATTGTTAAAATATTGTTAGAATGTATAATGCTTCCCAAAGCAATTACAGATTCAGTTTCAATCATTATCAAAATTTCCATGGCATTATTCACAGAAATAGAAAAATGCTAAAATTCATAAGGAATTACAAAAAAAAAAAAAAACTCAAATAACCAAAGCAATTCATATATAGAAAAAGTTGGAGACATCATACTGCCTGATTTAAAAGTATAAAGCCAGGCACAGTCACATATGCCTATAGTCCCAGTTACTCAGGAGGCTGAGGGAGAAGGATTACTTGAGTTCAGGAGTTCACAGCCAGCCTGGACAACACAGTGAGATCCCTATCTCAAAAACAAACAAACAAAATAACATTACAAAGCTATTAGTAATCAAAACAGTAAAATACTAATACAAAAATACTTAGAAACTAGAAATCAATCCAAATATATATGGTTAACTAATTTTTAACAAGGGCAATAAGATGACACAATAGGGAAAAAACAGTCTCTTTAATAAATGGTACTGGGAAAACTGGATTCTCACATGCAGTATAATAAAATTGGACAGCTTATACCATATATAAAAATCAACTCAAAATTAATAAATGACATAAAATTACACCTGAACCATAAAACTTCCAGAAAAGAACATTAAAAAAAAAAAAAACCTCCCTGACACTAGACTTGGCAATGATTTTTTTTAATACCACAACAAAAGTTAAGGCTACAAAACAAAAATAAATGGAACTACATCAAACTTCTGCACAACAAGAAAGAATCAACAAAATATAAAGGCAGATCGGGAGAATATACACACAAACCATACATCTGATAAAGTGCTAATATCCAAAATATATTAAAGAGTTTAGGCAATTAAAGAGTCAGCAGAAAATAACCCAACTAAAAAATGAGCAAAAGAACCTAGATAGATATTTTTCTAAAGAGAAAATAAAAATGATCAATAAGTATATGAAAAGGTGCTCAGCATCACTAAACATCATAGAAATGCCCATCAAAACTATGAGACATTACCTACACCTGTAAGGATGGCTATTATCAAAAAGATGAGAGATTACAAGTATTGGTGAAAATTCAGAAAAAAGGGAATCTTTGTGATTGTTGATGACAATACAGAATGGTACAGCCACTGCAGAAAGCAGTACAGAGGTTCCTAAAGAAATTAATAATAGAACCACCATATAACCCAGCAACCCTTCTTATGAATATATACCCAAAAGATATTAAATCACTACCTCATAAGTATCTGTACTTCCAAGTTCATTGCAGCATTATTCATAACAGCCAAGATGAAGTAATAACCAACATGTCCAATGATGGACAAATGGATCAAGAAAATGTAATTTATATACACAATGGATTATTGTTCAGCTTTCAAAAAGGAGATTCTGCCCTCTGTCACACAATATGGATGAAAATGGAAGACTTTATGCTGTGTGGAATAAGGCAGACACAAAGAAAAAGGTACTATATGATCTCACTCATATGCAGAATCTTAAAAAAAAAAAAGTCAAAAGTCAAATACACAGAGGTAGAGAATAAAACAGTGGTTATCAAGGGCAGGGGAGCATGGAATGGAAAAATGTAGGTCCAAGAACACAAAGCAACAGAAACACAAAATCAATAAGTCTAAAGATCAGATGTACAACATTATGAGGGTACTTAATATTGTACCACGCTCAGGATTTTTGCTATGAAAAGAGTAGACTTTAGGTACACTTGCCACAATTTTTAGAAATGGAAAACTACTAAGATGATAGATATATTAATTTACAGAATTATATAACCTTTTCACTATATATATTCACACATATCTCAAAACATGGTGTTCACCTTAAATATACACATATTTAAATTTAAAAAGACATGAGAACCCAGTTGTCTTATATTAAAGCAGACATTAACAAAATTTGCAGAAAAGTAAAACAATGCCACCTTACTAAAAATTTTTATTGTAAAGTTATTTTTCATATATATAAACAAATAATTGAATTTTTAAATAAATAAACCATTTTTTATTTCTTAGTTTTAATTCCAATCTTTTAATACATATTTACAATCCACATTTTAAAATGTTCCTTAGGGTCCTCAATTTTTAAGAATATAAAGGAGTCCTTTATAAAAAATGTTGAGAACTAAAGATACAGGAAATTCTAAACAAATAAATAATGCAGTCAAAAATATGGTATAGCAAACAAGTTTTAAAGTGGAACAGAAAAAAAAGCAGATGACTTATTCAATTGTAGATTTAATTTGAACCTACTATCAAAAGAAATGAAAAGATTGTAGAAGTTTAAGTTATTTTAATCAGGCTTTTAAAAGCATACCATGAGAAGATACAATTAAGAAGTACTTAAATTTTATGAGGCTATTTATTTCAAGAATCTTATTGTAGGGTACCAAGAAATGAAGACAGATAGGAACAAGGTCTATAATGCACTTTTAAAGGATACAGTAATTCCTCTTAAACCTCTTCATTATAAATCATGTAGAGGAGAATAAGGAGGAAAACTGTCTTATTTTAAATGTAATTATTTCTATTATTCTAACTCCTAAGACACAGAATAAGAATAGGTTCAGAGTGAAAACTAGCTAGATATATTAGCTGCCAGACTATTTTGTGATTTAAATCACTGGTAATATTACCATCTTGCGGTAAAATGAAGTATTGCAATTTTGAATGACAAAGACCCCCTAAGGGGTTCACTATGCTTTTGATAAAAGACTGAAGTATTTTCAGCCTGCCTATCTACCACACCCTCACATCAACTCCAAGCAAAAAGAACCTCCAGAGTTCTTTAATTTAAAAAAATAGAGAGTAAAAAAAAAAAAGAATGTTAAACAGCTAAAGGAAATATTCTGACACCATAAAGGTAAAAATGAAACCATAGTCAAAAACCCAATGATTGATGAAAACATTTCAGTGGTTCAACAATTACAACTGTCATGACTGGGGGAAGTCCTGGGGAGGGATACTGGCCAAATTATATTGTTATATTGTGTACATGTAATCCCACCATTATGTACAATAAAAAAGAAGAGAAAAAATCTATTATGACTAATATTTAAAGAAGAAAATTATATTTTTGTAAGCACAGTATTAGATAAAACTTGTGTTTGGTAACTCGATTATTACTTTTTCATTTTTATAGGTTATAATTGCTGCCACACTCAAAGTCTCCCATTTTATAAGGGGTTCTAGCATCCTATTTTCTCTTCACCTTGGCCTATGTAATTTTCATGTGAATTTTCAAAAGCATGTAAGAACAATCTACTTATTATTGACAATCTAATCTGAATTCTACTCTCACTTCTTGCAGATACTACTCTATTGAATTTCAGCTAAACCAAATAAAATCTATTTACATGTGTATATATATCCCATGAGTAAGATAAAGATTATAAGAATCAGAACTGAAAAGACAGATAGGATAATATCAGTTTTACCATTTAGTCTTTCCCAACTCCAATTGGCATATATAGTATAAACAAATATTTCCCTTAAAAGCAAAGGTCTAGATTCAATAAATTCGAGAATAAACATAAAATGCACATGATCAATTTCTTGCCATTATTTTACATAATCGAAATAGTGAAGTAGCCTGAACAATCTCCATATTTTTTTCACTCTCCATTTTGCTTCCAATACAATAATTGATTACTAACAACAGACACAGAAAGTAAAAGGAACAAAGAGAATGTAAAGCATGCAAACACCTTTCCCACTTTCCCTCTGCTACTTCAGCAATAATGGCTAGATTACTTCTACTGGACCCAATCAAATTCTCTGAAACAACCCGCGTATGCTCCAAGCTCAAGAACTATATATAACTTGCTTCTCTAAAGCAAGGTTTTGTCACCTTTATGAAATTTATTATTTTTTAAAAAACTAGTTTGAGGGCTGGAGTTGTGGCTCAATGGTAGGGTGCTCGCCTAGCACACTTGAGGCACTGGGTTTGATCCTCACCACCACATTAAAAAAAAAATGAAATAAAGATATTGTGTGTCCACCTACAACTAAAAAAGTAAATATTCTTTTAAAAAACTAGTTTGAATATCCAGAGTTTTCTTTCAATAATAACATGAAGTGATGATTTACACCATGTTCACTTAATGGAAATGATGTTGAGGTTTAAGTCATCTATACTTTAAGAACATTATCCTAATTAAAAAACATTATCAAAAGAGAAATCATTCTAAAGATGTAGATAATACTAATTTACAAACTTTATCCAACCTGTTGATGATTGCAATGTTTGATGCAAGCTGTGTGGCAACTGAAGGGTGAACAAAGGTGAATGGACACTATTTCTGAAGAAGTCTTCTGTTGCTTTAGACTGCAAAACTTTGGTTTCCCAGAGCTGGAAAAAAATATATATATACATATATATATACACACATACATATACATACTTTTAAAAAATCGGATATTTACTTCCATTTTTAAAGTTTTAAAATGGAATTTTCTGCTGATGGTACAATGGTTAAGTACTAAACTATATTGGTTGGGTTATAACTATAATTATCAGTTTTATTAAGTTGAAAACTACAAGAACAGAAACTTGTATTGTCCACAAACCTGTTTCAAGTCCTTTAAAACTTGTTCCTCTATACCTTCTTCAACAAATAGATCCCGCACTCCTTCAATTACATCTTCAATTACAGATCTGTAGAGTTTAGGCTACATAAAAGCAATTATTAAAGTTTTAAATTCTCAAGTTTGAATTACTTGCCTTTAAAAACATGTAGTATATACTTTCTAATCTTATAGTTTAAAAAAAAATAAGCACTGGAAAGATTTTTACTAAGTACATGCCATTCCCAGTATATACTTAGCTTTTTATAAATTGTGCTAGCTTCAAAGCTTTAGTTCTAGCTGTAGCTCCCTTGTATCCCACCCCCATCTACAAGGCTGAACTACAAGAATACAATTGAGATAATCTTATAAAGATAGATGATTATGGTTATGTTACTTGACTTCTGTGGTAGTATTTAACCTCCCCATTCCTTATAAAATGGAAATTAATTTAAGGCAGCTGGAAATTAAACTGTTTTCAATTTAACTTTTTCTCAAAGTAGCCACTATTAGTGAACTATTAGAGTTCACTATATTATTTCCATAAATGTAAATAAACTTCATGTCTTAACACTGGGGAAATCAAAGCCTGTCCTACTTTCAAATCCCACAAACCAAAAAAAAGTGTGTATGCGCACATGTGTGTGCACACACACACATATTCTGAACCCTTATCAAGTTAACAACTGCACCAAAATGAATTTCCTAAACAAAAACTACAAAGCGGCACTAACAACCTCACCCTTCTACAATGTGCATATTGTAGAGACAAAATAACATCCTAAAGTGTTTCCTAATAAAAACATGCCATGAAATGAAATTAAGCAGATTCATACCCAGATTAAACATCATTTACATCAACACAACAATGAACATGTGCAATAAACTTAGTCCTTCAAAGCTATGTAAAGTGTGTTCCACCGAGGTCTCCAATCCAAAATGGCAATTCTAAGTGCTGACAATACTGATCCAGTGGAAGTTCCACTGACAAGAAAAGCAAAACAGGAATTTAATTGAGTTGCTCTTGTCTCAAATTGCTTAATCAGGCCAAAATGAATACTGTGGCATTCTAGGATTACTTTTTCATACATCCCATAAAATACTCTAAATACTCCTGTAAACTCCAAGAGAAGCTAAATTCTAAAATAATCCTTCTAAAGATCCAGGGTAAGCCTATGAATAGGCCAATCAGTAACATTTAAATAATATGTTATTCACAAGCATATCCATTAAGGCTAAGTGCCCTTAGATTGGTTGCTTCTTCTAAAACAGTTTACCCAGATAAAGGCATTCTAAATGGGTGCTTCAGTGTTAATCCCAGCTAGTGTGATCACACTTAGAGCTAGAGGAAAAAATTCCTAGGGCTAAAAACATCTTTAAGATCTGCCCTCAGAGTATAACAGCAGCAGTCAAAAAGAAGCCATTAGACACAATTTTTCAAAAGCAAAATAGGTATTGAACGTAGTTTCTCTTCTAAGACTACATTTAGACTTCATACTGCTTTCCCTATCTACTGTCTTTATTAAAACTATATATAATCCAGAAGTCCATCTTAACACCTCTGAAGGAAAACATGCACACCACCCTCTCCTTGGAGTTCACACTCAGGGAAATCATTTCACCCTGTAAACTTATTTTCAAGTATAAGTGTTCTACAATTCTTAAAACAGTATCACAAAATGGATATACACTAAAATAGCATGCCTCTAAAAATGGAACATTTAATTCTACTTATGTATACTTGGAATCATATTTGTCCCCTCCAAAAAAAAAAAAAAACCCATCTGGATGAACACATTGTCTTTCAGGAAATGTGAAGTCTATTGATAATAAAGATGAATCCTTTTTCTTTTTTTTTTCTTTAATTTAGGTTTTTAAGATGGATGGAGAGTCTCACAAGTGCCAGTCAGCCTGTGAATTTTGTGAGGTTCAGGTACTCTTGGAGGACACAAAGTCAATGTCTGAGGGTTGAACACTTCAGCGCTAAAGGGGCTAGAGAATGGGAAAAGGAAGACGACGGGTAACAAGCCATATCGCATTACCTGTTATTTCATGTTAGTAAATAACAGCTTCAATGGACAATGTCTGTAGCAAAATTAAAAATTAGACTACAAGTGAGCTTAGGAATTTCTAAACATATAGAAAATCCGCAAGGCAGAGGGTGAGTTCCACCTCTAAACACGTTCCAACCCTAACCTAGACAACCTCAACTTGGAGCAGGAGGACATCACTTCTTCCGGTTGGGCCAGGCCCGACTTCCGGCCAAACCACTGGCCCTCGTCAGCTTCCTCAACACAGAAGTAAGGAACAGGGTTTATGAAAGTGTATGGCTTATCACTGATGACTAAAGGGTGAGCAGGGTTCAACTGCTGTGAACCCAGTGTCCTAGGCCGCTCCCATGCGCGGAGCCTGCGGCCCTCCTTACCACTGGGTTGATGCAGGCCATGACAGCGGCTCCAGCGGGCCCTTCACGCCTGCGCAGCACGGGATGTACCGCCCAGGGGCGCGCGGGCTGGTTTTGAACGGCGAGGGGAGAACGTTGCCACGCAACCTCGGAAAACGCAGAGGGCGGGGCAAGGAAGAAGCTAAGCTCCGTGAGTGGAGCAGGGTTGATTGCAAGCGCTGTGTCTCTTCAGAGGGGAGGTTGGCTTGCCTGAGGAAGGACAGCTAAAATGAATGAATGGTTAGGTCGGGCCTTACCATCTTTCGGCTGTTCCCATGACTCCAAAGGGCCTTTATTTCCTCTGTCTGTGAAATAAAGACCAAGAAAATAGGGACAATGCAGTGGTAGATCCCAGTTCCAGTTGAGCTTTGAAGGAAGGGTGCGGCAAGAGATAAGAAGGGAGTTTAGTGATATCTGCTTTTACCAATTTTCATTCCTACCCCTAAACCCAGCTGAACTCCATATTGTTATTTTAAAATATAGCGAGAGCCATCCAGAGAATGGGCAGCAGCAACATCACCTGGGAACCTATTTAAAATGCAAATGATCGAAGTCCATCCACACCCACTCAATCAGAAACTGGAGGGAGGGGCCCAGCATTCTGTAATTTTAACGTGCTTTCTGGGTGGTTTTAATGGACATTCAAATGAGACCCACTGTCTTCAGAGTCTCAACTTTGGTATACATTAAAATCATGTGAGGAGCTTTAAAAAAAAAAAAAGTCTGGTGCCTACACCTCACCCCAGAGTATCTGATTCTAAAATGCAACCAACGTGGAGAACCACTGTTTGAAGTCAGGTCCCCAGTGGCATCCAGTCTCCTTTTCCTCAAGCAGAGGTCACCATCTTTTGACCTGCAATCATTTTCTGCATCTTCCGAAAAATTGAGCATATCATAAGGTGCTTAGCTTACCTAGTTAAATGTAAATGTAAGCACAGACAACCTGGAGGGCTAGAAAAAGGAAGAAGCCATAGATTGCCACTACTCTACCTTTTAAACAGTCTTTCTAGCCTGAAGATAAGCCTTGACTTAACCAGATGGTTATTTGATGATTAAAAATCCTATTAGGTTTAAAAATTGGCTGTTTATTTATTTATCTGTAAATATAAGTACAGTAGAGTATCCTCTACCACTCTGTATTTGCCTGCAGTCAGGTACCTTAAGGTTGTGTGTTTCAAGCAGCTGGTTCATATGACCCCCTTAGAAGACTTTCCTAAATTGAAAACTGTTGGAAATTTCTTTTACAAAAAGCCAAGAAGCTTACATGGTAATTTTTGATGGTTATATCTCTACCTGGCAATTTGCAACCAGGACTATTCAAAGTGACTTATCTTTAACCCAGAATAGAAAAGCTAAAAGCAGACATTGATTCCTTCTATTATAAAATGCAATTAAATTATTCAAGCTGGGAAATAAGAAAGCTGAAAGGTCTCCTGTTTTCCATCTTCTTCATAGCAAGATTTTAAAATTTTATTCCTAAATGCATAGGATTGGTAATCAGCTAACTTTTTGTGACTGCATACCATTTTGTTGTACTTTATTATATATTATCCCTTTCTCAGGGGTACACTGTGGATCATGCATATTTTTTAAATCAAATTTGGACGTTGGTGCTCATTAAAAGTTGACTAGCAGTTGAATTGCTATTGCTTAGTACACTCAGATTATAGGAAACTTATGCAATGTTAGCAAGAAATGTCAACAACTTTCTGTTTGCCTCTGGTGGTCTAACTGAATGGTCACTGGTAGGTTCAGTGGTTTTTCTTCTCAACAATAAATAATGACCATTAGAAGAGGCATGCTTTAATCCAAGTTCACGGTGATCCAAGTTGCAAATCTGCTCTGAACCTTTGGTAGCCAGCTTCCAACATAGCTTCCAGTTGATCTTTGCCTTCTGGTATTCACCACCTAGTATCTTCCCCTCCCACCAAGGGAATAAAGCAGAAGTAATGATACATCACTCCCAAATTTGTTATAAATGGCTGTAGGATCCCCCACTCCCACCCACATCACTCAACTCTGGAGAACCCAGCTATTTTGGAAAAATTTGGTATTTCAGAACCAGTCACCAAAGACAGAGGTATCAAGAAGCTGAGGAAAGAGACAAATCCAGTCTTTGCAATTTAGGATGGGATTTATAGACAGATGCAAATCTTAGGCAACAGCAAGACATTAGTATCTCCACACTCCAAGGCAGGAAAGGGTTTACATACTAAGCTAGACAAAGGGGGGCCATGGCCAGCTAGAATGTACCTAGGCTTTCTCAAAAATTATTAACAGCACAAGCATGACACAAAATGCTCAGCTTTGGGAGGCGGTCTCACTGAATAACTGGCATTCTCCTTCCTGTGATCTGAAAAGGCTCTGTTGGTCACTTTCATAGTGACCTGGATATTGATTGCCCCAATCCTCGAAGTAGCAGAATGTGTCTTCAGACATCGGCGTGCCTTCCTGCAGTCCCATGGGTTGAGCTATGCTCACTTGTTCCTTTGTAATACTACCCTTTTGCCCTGTTTGGGATAGAATGTTCCATGGAAACACCCTTTGTGTATCCCTTTCTCTTGCTCTGCCTTTAGGTATGGCCTTCCTAGATGTCAGTCAACCTGCTGACAACAGACATCATGAAGCTAGACTCAACCCCCTGAAACCCGACCCCTTGCCTAATTTGAATGGCTTCTCCTCAATAAAAGGGTCAGCACGTGCTGGCTCTCTTTCTGCAGACCCTTAAGGTCAGAGGAGCTGTCACAGGACCTCCAAAGAAAAAGATTATCTCTGTATCTTGTGTGGTTATTTCGCACAGCCCAGTTCACCTGGAGTGACCCTGAGTGTTTTAGTCATGAGGAACATGACACTCGGCTCTCCTAATTATTTCATTTATCTCATTAAATTTGGAATACATACTAGGGTCACATGATGGGCAAAATGACAATTACAAATGATGATGGCTATAATCAGGTGAAGCTGGATCCCTACATCAACTATCTTGCCACACTAACACTCAGGTAGCCTATGGAACTGAGACTCCAGCCCATAACCACACATATTGGAAACCTGCAAACAATCACTTGCATAACTTTGGGTATGAATCCTTGCCCAGTTGAGCTACCACATGATTACAACACAGAATGGCAGCTGTACTGCATCCTTATGAGAGATCTTGAACCGGAACCACCCTCTAAACATCTAGTGGATTTCTGATACCTAGAAGTCATTGGAAATGATATTTGTCACCTTAAGCAGTTAAGTGTTTGGGGTAATTTGTTATACAGTATGAGACAACTCATACAGGACCCATTATCTGGTTGAACTGTGACTAGAGAAGGTTTGGTTTTCCCTATTTTAATCTCAGCATTTGAAGTTTCATGAGTACCCTCTTCGGTCACAAGAGCATTTTAAAAAATGGAAAGAGGGGCTGGGGATGTGGCTCAAGCGGTAGCGCGCTCACCTGGCGTGCGTGCGGCCCGGGTTCGATCCTCAGCACCACATACAAACAAAGATGTTGTGTCCGCCAATAACTAAAAGAAGTAAATGTTTTTTAAAAAAATGGAAAGAAATCTTTATAGACTGATATTTGACAGCTTTGACCCAAGATTATCGTGAAACAAGCAGATTTTTATAGTTATATAATAATCACATTTCTTTTGTCAATTTTTCAAAGTCAGGTGGGGAGTGTGTTGCATGCACAAAGCATTTTTGATGCTAAAATTGAAATTTCAAAATCCCAGAGCCTCAGTGAGGCAATTTTACAGTGACTACTTTTTATGTTAGTAAATAGAGTATAAAAAGGGAATGCTAGGGTTTGTTCCTTCTTTGAGTACTTAGTTCTTGGAAATTACACCTGCACAAAGGCACGAAGCTCTCCTCCAGTCACCTGTCACAGATTAGAGCATCAGATTTTCATTTTGTATGCTTTGATTAGAGACCACAATATATACTTACTACATCATTGTATTAACACCAGATTTTGAAAATCTTAATAATCACATTAATTTCTTTGCATTTTGTATATTCCCATTATTTTTGCCTTGTGGTTTCAGCAATACTGTTCCAAAAAGTAAAGAAACCATTTCATGATGCTTTAATGTGTGAAAAGTCCATATCTATGAAGTCCTTTTCTTGGATAACAATGTAAAAAATAGATATTTTAGAGACAGCCCATTATCTTTTCCATATTAAACTTAATAATCAAGCACAGGGTGTTTCAGTATAGATTCTAAATAATAAATTTATCTATAATGAAAAATATGAGTTAGTCTTTGGGCATATGGCTTAAGGCAGGAAATATTCATAATTAGTTTTTTAACATTTTGCAACCGATGCATTAAGCCCAGCAGTATTGTGTTTCTCTGCCTCTGCTTCATCCCTCACATTTTCCAGGAAATGAAAATCCAGATAATCTTTGCCTCCCCTTGTAACTTTGAAGTGGTTGCATGTTGGCAGTTCTGGCTTATTTATATTCTGCACTTTTATAACATTTTCCATTTTCTAATACAACTCCAGAATCAACTGGCACAATTTGAACATCAGACACTTTTCCACCATGATGAATCCCTCCCTGCACCCCAACAGGATTTCAGTTGAAACAACCATATGACACAATGCTATGGCCAACTGGTGACCTTATCACACAATGGACCACTGTTGGTGAGTACATCACTTAATTTCAAAATGCTTTAATATTCAGAAGATGTATACATTGTGTATATATGTAAGTTGCTGATAATAATTAACTCATAGAACATATGCAAAATTATTTTAAACAGTTTTCCTGTCCCTATTTTTTTACATTCTCATCAGTGTCTTATTAAGGTTTCAATAACTTTCTAGATAAGAAATGATTCCATTTTCATTTCTTAATCATAATGTGTATAATTATACATGAACATGATGTATTAGAAAGAATAATGTTCATTGTCTCCAATTAATTCTTCAGCCTAAATTTCCACTTAGAGAAGATGAAAATAATGACCAACAATTTCAGCTGAAGCCTCTGATCTGGAGAGAACCAACCAGCTTTGTTCTCACAATAACTGTACTTTTCTGTTTTCCTAATTTGTCTCATTTTGTAAGAGGTAAATAGCAATATCTTAAATATTCTGCATTGTTGCCTTAGGTGCTTCAGTATCGGGACAGGCAGAGACAATACAGAATAGATGTACTTCTTCCTAATCCTTGTCTGAGATCACTGTTGATCCTTCAGCTAAGAATATATAAAAATTCTGGATATTCCATATAAAACAAATATAAGAAGACTCTTAAAGGTGGAAAGAAGTATACAGACCAGGCAGGGACCCTGCAACACCAGACTGACACAGCAGTGATTCCCTGGTTTTCTTTTTGCTTCATAAATCCCTGATGGAGTTGAAGAAGCTGGCAACCTGGGAACCACCAGTGATCTCAGACAAGAAAAGCCTCAACAAAAGCCTGATGTCTCAAATCAAAGGAACGAGAGAGAAGCACTAAGACAGAAAACTAATATAGTAACTACTCGACTCCACAACCCACTACTACCCTTGTCACTCCTGCTTGTAATTGTGTTTTCTTTTGGCTTAGAAGTGGGCAATGTTGTGTTTCCATGAGTTACAGTACAGCATGATTTGTACAGTTTCATTTGTTTCCTGTGTTGTAGTACCTAGCATCATCCTGGCCACATAAGAAGTTCCTAACAAACCCCTGTTTGTGTGTGTGTGTATGCACGCACATTTATGGGGGTGAACTAGTCATTCCTTATCCGAATGTTTTCCATTCAAGGTTACATTTTATCCTTATGTAGACAAGTGAAGGAAATCAAGTACCTAGTGTTGTTTCAAGCACAAGGAAGAAAAACCCTGCGGCTACATAATGGTTCCAAGATATCTCTAATAGAGACAGTTGAGAAATAACACTTTATCAGATGTTGGGAATTAAATGAGAAAACATGGTCCCTGGCATATAGTATGTGCTTAAAAGCTAAGTGTATGGCTTCTCCACATTCAGAAGCATTCAAAAACAAGACTAAATCAAATTTTGAAACAAACATTTTAATCTTTTCAATCCCTTGAGGAGATATATATATATATATGTTATATATATATATATATATATATATATATATATATATATATATATATATATATAAAAAAAAATACATTTGTAACCATAAGTGTGATAGGTTTTAAATTCCTTGAGGACTGATGAAATTCTTTATATGCTCCCTAAGTACCTAGCATAGTACCTCCAATCTGTAAAGCATTCATTAAATATTATGATTTGAATTTATTGTTAAGCAGTTACAAAATGGAGTTTCTGGCCTATGCATGGGGAATGATTAGAGACTACCATGCAACCATTCTTGGGGGAAGTAGTTCATTGATCTAAATCCACCCTACCATTCATTCATGTGATATTTTTAATTCAAGACATAGCTGCCTAAACTCCAGCCAAGGGAGCAGCCCCACACTACCAGCTTTGCTTCTACCACCACCTATTATTACCCTTGTATATGCACTTCTTCCCAGAAAATGGGAAATCACAATGGGCAGAGCCACCCTAATCAATGTCCCAGACAGGGTGAGGTGGAAAAAAAAATGTAAGTAATTATAATGGGATTAGTAGTAAAAATGACATATGAGGAGTCCCTAACCTGAATGGGAGGCCCAGGCAAGGCTTCCTAGGATCTCTCAACTGAGATCTATAGGACATAAGGGCCAAAGGAAGGAGACAAGAAAGATTGTTCCAGGAAAGGACATTGTATTAAAGCCTGAGGCCTGATGACAGGATGGGTCTGAGGAATGAGAGCAGTTCAGCTTGGCCAGAGGACAGAGAACAAGGCAAGCTGGAGTGAAAGCGGAGGCTGTCTGGTAAGCCAGTGCCAGATAATGTGCTCCTCGTCACAGACAGCAGCATGAAGGCTAGGTCGGAGGATGGCCACAGTGGAGACAGAGACATGCTTAAAGGTCTGGAGGTGTGGAACAGTAAGCAACACTGTTAGAAAAACCTGCAGCAGAAGCAACGTCAGAGGGGAAAGACAGCAAGGTCTAAATGACTGGCAATCGATTATATGAAGCAAGAAGGGAAAGAGGGGGAAGCCTCCAAGATCTTTGTGGAGATACAGGGAGAAGGGGCTGGGGCATCCCCCGATAGAGGAAAAGGCAATAAAAAGAGGACTATGAGCACCATCTAGTTCACAATCCTACCCAAGGCCATCTCTGATCCCAGAGCAAGTTTTATATAGAATTTGTCCTTTTCCACAATGAATTCTTAGCAAGGCCTTTAAAAAGTGTTTCAGAATATCTCAAAATTATCCACTGGAGAGACAGGCTCTTGGCATTTAACAATGCCACTGTTCAGAGATGCTCTTTCCTTGTCCTTTTCATGGCACTTGAGGACCTTTGGGTGGAATTCTCTCTGAACAGTGTGAAAATATCAAAATAAAACTCCACAGGAAAAGGACAAGCATAGCAACTAGGTGTCATCTCCGACCCCCACGCAGCCACTCAAGATCTGCAGCATCTCGAGATGAAAAGCAGAAAAGGAGACTGAATTCTAGAGTATTCACAAGTGGGTTTCCCAAATCAGAGCTACTTTATCATGTATTCCATTAGAAGGGATTGATACTCTCAGTTGCAAAGTCCCAAGAACGTCCTTGTTTGGGTCAGTACAGTTGATATTTGAACACTAATACCAGTAAAGAGCATGTACTAGAAGATATGATCAAAAATTTCAAGAAAATAAAACTAAAATCTGTTGATCATAAAGGATTCTTAAAGAAATAGGATTCTTATTGTCAATGGGACATGTAGAAAGTCTCTGAATCCAGTTCTAATTCTAGAAAAATAAGTGAAGGAATAATAATTTGAATATTTAGGCCTGCACCCTACACCTGTACCCATATTACCTGTCTTTCACCTACTGCAGTGGTGAACTGTTAGTTTGGGGGTTTTGTTTTTTTGTTTTTTTACTAAGGCAGCCCCTCCATTAGCGGTCTTGGGTCCCACCTCCTCTTGTCTACTTACAGAGATAGTCCTAGAAATTGTCTCACTCTCTCCTTTGTGTGATTAGTTTTCCTTTTACTACTAGAACACTGCTAATAGGCATAAATATCTACAATCCAGTGGTGTACCAAGATGGGAATGTGGGCTCTTAGCTCCAGGTACAGGCAATACCAGGTGTGTTGTTGAGAATTTAAACACAATAATGAAACAACAAAGTCAGTCTGCATTTGATTATCAGCACACGCAGACAATCCTAAGAAGTGTCCACAATAAAACACTCACCACCCCCCATTTCATTTCTTTATTACCTTACATTCTAAATAATTGGCACAATTACTGTTGGGTTTTAATAATGCATATCAAAGATGAATATAAGTATATTTTAATTTCTTAACATTGAATAAACATTATACTTACATGGAAGTTAATTTGGAGAACTCCAAATTATCCAGTTTGCTCCCTGATATACACAGACTCAAATATATGTATTCACTTTGGGAAATCATAATGGGCCAGAATTTTTCAAACTTGTTTCACATGCAGTTTGTGTCTCCATCCTTCTTGGTAATACATATTCTTGGATTTAAGCCATGGATTCATAATAAGCAGTTGTTGTAAAGTTAAAGAAATAGAACTGAGTTCATTTCAATTCTGTCATTCTATGTGGACATGTCAAGTTTTTATTTGTGCTTTTAAATTTAGAAGAATAAAATAAAAAATAAAAAGAACTACAAGATATTGTATTTTTGTTTGGAAAGTTTTTTTCGGTCACTTTATACATTAAGTACTTAGTGTGCAGAGAAATAATATTTTAAATTTGAAATTTATTCTTCTACTTTAATTGTAATAATCATTATTATGTATCTTTTAATGATTCCAAATACTTATATAGTTTGTTATGTGAGTGAAATACATTTTGCTTTGATAAGAATTTGGGGTGTACATCCCCTCCCTTTATAGATATTATGTCACACCTTATCAAACCCCATATGTGAAATACTGGCCTACACAATACACATACACCTAAGAATCTGACAGTTGCTTTGAGAGTTTAGTCTGTGGCCAAGTTACCTTCCTTCAGTCACTTCTCTGAAGATGGATGATAAAGAGCTAAAGTTAAGTGTGAACCCTGGGTTAGATCCCAAGAGACAGAGAGCTGAAATTAAGGCAGGGACATACCCAGTTAGCCTTTGGGTTAATCTCAGAAGCTTCACCAGCACTTGTATATGGTGGGCCCCTAGATATCTTCACAGATCTTCACAGTTCTCCATGTCAGACGCCATCTCTCTAGAAAGCCTCTCTTCTATAAAGGGACACCTCACACTGCACTTAGGTTTTACTTTCCACAGAGGCCTGCTTCCAACCTAACTGAGCAACTAGACTCTAATAATTTTGGAACTCACTATGTGATTAATGTGCCTCACCTCTCAATGTGTCCCCGATGGGATTTAGTCTCACTATTCAGCCCCTCTTTAAGCATTGTAATCCTAAGGAGAAATCATCTTTGTGTGTCAATAAATCATATGATTCATAAATCCTACTTTGACCAGCTCCTTATTTTAATCATAAAAGCAGTCTTATAACTAAACAATAAATCAAGAAAATAGAATATTACATTAGTAGTTGCTTAATTTCTGCCTTTTGCAGGTACTTTAATTATATTCAAATTCACTTAGTAGTACTGGACAATCATTTACATAGAATGTTATTATATCAAAGCATAAAAAGAACCAATGCTTAAACAGGTAGATATAAAAACTATGAATTAATAGTTGTACTTTTTTTATCCTGTAGTAACTTGTAGTCATTCTCAAGATTGTGAAACCAGCAATTGCTTCATAATTACTTTGAATTCAATAACAAAATTTGAAGTAGGATTACCATACCAACATGACATGACATCAACCCAGCAGAGCTCATTGAAGAAAAAAAATAAAAAACAAAATGGAAAGTGATTAAAGTAATGGCTAAATTTATTTTAAAATATGTAACACCCAAAACATCACAAATATGTTAGTGAAAATTCTGAAGAAATACAAGCTGGTACATCTAACACCTATGCAAGACACAGTACATGATTCAGTTGACATGGATTGAAAGATGACAAGGAATCATTTTCTATAAATATTGACATTAAGAGAACATTTTAGCAATAATTAATATCAATAAGGTAAGATAGTAATAATAATTAAAGAAAAAAGAGACACTAGTAGAAACAAAGGCCAATACTTGGGTCTCAAGGAGGGCAGGGGGATCTCACTCTCACCAGCTACTATCCTGATGTTTACAGTACAACTCCTCAAAAGACTTTGAGAAGTTCAGATCATGCCACCGAAAATATGCTGCTTTGGCATATTGATTATTTTAAGTTGATGAAACTTGAGAAATAGCAGTTGCAGGAAGGGTCTCTGACCTCCTCCTTTCTACCTAAAAGCAGGTCATAAAATTTCCCACAAGAAAGGTAGCCTCCTATGCTAGGAAGAAAACATTCTTATCTTCAGAGACTGGGAGTCAATGCCAAAATGGATCTGTACACACAAAGCCTCCCATTATGTTCCATATTATTTCCTGGTCACTGTTCCAAGCCCCTTTCTCTTCTCATGTTAGCACAATTTTTTTTTTATTTTTCATATAAAATTTAATATAAGCATTATGGTCTAAAGGCTTTTTTTTTTTTTTTTGGTACTGGGGATGTGAACCCAGCGTGCTTTACTACTGAGCCACATCCCAGCCCTTTTTATTTTGAGACAGGGTCTCACTAAGTTGCTTAGGACTTCACTAAATTGCTAAAGATGTCCTCCAACTTCTGTCTCAGCCTCCAGAGTTCTTGAGATTGCAGGTGTATACTACTGTGCCTAGAGCCTGAAGGCTTTTTTAAATTTTCCTTTTGAGGAATCCCACATACAAGTAAAAACATTAAATAAAATTTGTATGCTTTCCTTCTATTAATCTCTTTCAAGTCATTTTGATTCTTAGGCCAACCACAGGACCTAGGAAAGTAAAAAGAAGTTTTGCCTCCCCAACAGAGTATCTATTGTCTGGCTCTATATGTGCTTAATTGGCTTTCCTGGCCTTTACTCCAATGACACTGCTGCTTGTGGTCAATCCAGTGGTCAATTCTTAGTCCTCATCTTACCCTATAACAGCATTTGAGGCAGACACTACTTCCTTTCTCACCGAGATACCATTCTCTGATGTCTTCTCCTCCAGCTACTCTTCCTCGGTCTCCTTTACTGTCCTTGTTTTTTGACCTCTAAACTTCAAAAAGCCCAAGGGTTCAGCTCTCAGACCACTTCTAGTATTTCTATTCACTCCCAGGTGATCCCAGCCAGTCCCACCGCTCTAAATTCTGCTGTTCCCAAAGTGGCATCTCTAGCCCAGTACTCTCTCCCACCTTATGCACCCAAGTAGTACTCACTGTCTCCACTTGTATACCTAATAAATGTCTCAAGGTTAACACATCCGATTCATGCATAAACTCCTGATCTTTCACTCCCATTCTGTAGCTGCTCAGATGAAAAATCTTAGAATCATCCATCTTCCATTCCCTCTCCCCCTCACAATCCACATCCAATCCCTCAGCATGCACTGTTCTTTCTTGTATTTCAAATATATTCCGAGTCCAACAATTTTGCATCTTCTTTCACCACTCCTAATCATTATGATTGGTCACACCTGGTGCTACTGTCTGAAGGTTTGTGTCTTCCCAAAATTCACATGTTGAAATCTAACCCTCAATGGATGGTAGTAAAAGATGGAGCCTTTGGAAAGTAATTAGGATGTGAGGCTCCACCCTTACAAACAGGATCAGTGGTACTTTAAAAAAAGGCTCAAGGGGGACTGGAGATATAGCTCAGTTGGTAGAGTGCTTGCCTTACATGCATGAGACCCTGGGTTCAGTCTCCCACACTATAATAAATAGATTTTTTAAAAGGTTTGAGGGAGCCTTTTTGCTCCTTCCTCCATGCAAAGACACATAGATGGTGCCCTCTATGAAGAACTGACCCTTATCAGACTGTGAATGTTCCAGCACCTTGCTCTTGAACTCTCCAACCTTTCATAACTGTAAGAAATAAATTTCTGATCTTTATAAATTACCCAGCCTATGGTATTTTATTATATCAGCAGGAACAAACTAAGAAGCCTGGGTTATTGCAATAGGCTCCTAACTGGTCTCTCTGCTTCTGTCATTGCCCCCAACTCATTCATAGACTCACCTTAACATGTAACAAAGTTCATGTAACTTGTTCACCAGAAACTCTCTAGGGGTTTCCATCTCATTTGGGATGAAACCTGAAGTCCTTACCATGGCCTACAAAGCCCTACCTGATCTCCTCCCTGACCTGCTAGCAACCTCTCTGATTTCCTTCTCCCTGGTCCTCTGCCACTGAGTAGCTATTTGCTGCTAGCCTTGATATTCCTGAGACAGGCCAAGAGCCCTGATTCTAGCACCTGTGCATTAGCAGTGGCTGGACTCACTCTTCCCTGAAGGATCCAGGTGACTCTCTCCTTCATTTTTTCCAGGTTTCTTCTGGAACTCCATTTCAACATTCTTCTGCCACTCTTTGCCACCCTACCCTTCTTTATTTTCCTGCATAACAAATTACTATCTGTTTATTGTCTGACTTCCTCCATTATTATATACCCTCTAGGATAACAGCAATTAACTGTTTTGTGATTGTTTATCCCCAGTGTCTAGAAAAAATGTAGACACATAGAAAGCACTCAATAAACATTAGAATAATCAGCAAGATGATTGATTGTAATGACATAGCATTTTGAGGTTATTAGAAGTGACAAACTGTGGCTACCAATGCCTTAAGCAACACTTCTATATTTCAGATTGTGGCAGACACCTTTGGGAATGTCTCATGCTACACTCATAGACTTGCTCATGACATAAGATTTTTAGAAGAAGAATGTTCTAATGGACTTCATAAAAGAATGGCAACATCCACCCAGAAAGATTTCTGAGAGAAAGAGCTCATTACTGTTTTCTGAGGACTGAAAGAACAAAGCCTTGTCCCTGGGTCAAGGTAACATGGAATATTCTGCAAGCAAATATTTGCTTGGTCTTACCCATAGACTGAAAGTACAATCCTGGGCTGGAGCTAGATTTTAGAGACCACACTGACTTTGCTACATGCCCACACAAGATGGATTAATTACAATATTTTCTAAATCTTCATAAGTAAGATTTAGAGTTTATTAACTCTCATTAGAGTTTTAAATCAGTGGAGAAGGAACATGCTATTTTTCTGTCTCCTTAATAGAAATGTTTAGAGATAAGCATAGTATTTAAATCCTTGGGATGTGTAAAATTGTATTCAATAGCATTTTTAGACAAAGCATTAAGAATACTTTAAAGTGTTTGTCTACTGCATTAATTTTAATTATACTTCACCGGACTCATGATGCTTTGAAATGATTTGTAAAATGCCCTCAAGATCTTTTATTAATCAAAATACAAGCTTCACCAAATTCAAACGCTGGTGTTTCTGACTCTGGGTAACAGCAGCTTGCCTGAGAGTTCCCTCTTCTGTTTTAAAAGTGTACTGCAAGTTACATTTCATGGATTTTACAGCAATTCTGGGTAGGACAAAGGGGGCTTCTCAGAAAAATGTCAAGATACAATCCTTTTATTTACATAAACTATCCTTCCTTCTGAGGTTTGGAAGGCTGTGCTGGTGTGCAGAGGCATGAGGGGAAGAAGCAAATCTCAAGGTGGAATGGCGATTTGTGTTTCTTCCTAGAATTCTCATGGAAATGAATTTCAATCTTTCAAAACATGGGGCAATCACACTAATCCATTTTCTTCTCTCATACAGGTGGAAGGAACATAATCTTAAAAGCACAATATTACCTGAAACTTTTATCTATGGCATTTTTAGTAAATCAACTATTTGCTTGATAACCAGCAACTATCTTGCTTTAAGAATTAATTACAAGGCAGGTACAGTGGCACATGACTGTAATCTCAATGGCTCAGGAGGCTGAAGCATGAGGATCACGAATTCAAAGCCAGCCTCAGCAACTCAGCAAGGCTCTAGCAACTCAGCTGAGACCCTATCTCTAAATAAATATAAAAAAGGGCCAGAGATGTGGCAGAGTGGTTAAGTGCTGCTGAGTTCAATCTCCGGTACCAAAAAAAAAAATTAAAGACAGTCAAATTCATATCTCAATGCCAGCTCTAAGCAAGAACTTATTAATATACTTACAACAAGAAAAAAATCCTTGTTTCATATAACCCAGGAAAATATACAGGTAATTAGGTTGAGCCCCATGAAATTGCTAGCAAGAATGACAAACACTGGCAATTGTCAATGAAAATATCAAATTGTCAATACCAAAATCAATATCTCACCAAATACACACAGTTCTATACTTTAGGAGCAAAAGGTCCTAGGGACAGAATTGTGCAGGGAATTAGAGGGTCTAGGATAGATAACATAGATACTTGGAAGCGGGCAGGGCAGCCTAGGTAGATCTGAACAAGAAAGAATTAAATGATGGGGATTTGAGGGACATTGTTACAAACATGGTCACTCGAAGACACTTAATCCTTTCCCTTGCTCCTGAAGAACAACAGCCAAGCCTTGTCACTACCAGCAATGGCTAGAATAGTGCTTGGTGATCTGCCTGGTACAGTTTTGAAATATTAACTTTAATAGATAAAAGTTTAATTTCAACAAATGTCAGTTTTCTTATGATGGAAAGAGAGGTTGGTTTCATTAGGGTTTTTTAATCAGCATTGATTTACTTTTGTATCTATTATGGCCTACCCACTGCACCCACCTCAGCTCTCTGAAATATATTCTGCACTATTGGGTAAAAATATATTCTGCACTATTGGGTAAAAATAGTTTTCAAAACTTCAAAAACTTTGCTTTTAAATACACATTATTTCTTTAGTACTACTAAACAAGTTGCCCAAGTTGTACAATTCTGTTCTCCTGTGGACAAAGTTCAGCCTATTGTCAAAAAAAATGGTATATGACTTTGAAATGGAAGTCCTATCTCATTTTCATGCAGGTTATCAATACCTTTACTTTGTCTTTGAATTATTTTATGAGTCTGTAAATGATAGAAGTCTGATATTAATGCACATGACTCTTGTCCACAGAAATGTAAATTAATTGTTAGGACAGGAGGATACTATATTTTTATTGTTGCCCTAAGAATGACTAGACCCATCTTGTATCTATTGGCAAATTCATTTGAGAATTCCTTACTTCCTATATATGTCTTTTTTTGAATTCTCTTTGGAACTCCTTATGACTTTTTTATTTTATAGGGTCTCAAGTTGCTTAAGGTCTTGCTAAATTGCTGAGGCTGGCTTTGAACTTAGGATCCTCCTTTCTCAGCCTCCCAAATTGCTAGGATTACAGGTGTGTAACACCACACCCAGCATTGAACCAATTATAACAGCTTATGGATTCCCTCATTAGTTAGTGAGTTAAATAAAATCTTATGCACATATTCACTTCATATCTTTATGAGTCATGATTATTTGCTCTTTTAAAAATCATCCTTTATCATATCATCAATTACAGTTTGATGATATTATTTTTCCAGGATATGCCAAGATGCCATGTTCAATGACTCCTTAATAGTGAAGTCTTATACATATGCCTGACAGAGAGTCAATTTTTGAAGGTTATTGAAATTGATTTCACACCTTAAAAAAATATCCCCAGGCCTTGCAAAAGATATAAGTCCATAGCACAGCAAGAATTATTTGAAATACATCTTTAATTTTAGAAAAATCAATATGCAATCTACAAAATACTTTGTTACATGATTATTAGGGCTCAAACTGTTTTATATTTGTATTGATAGGACACAAAATCATATTTTGAGTAAAACATTATAACAGTCATTGTTAAGGAAGACCTTCTAACTGAATTTATAAGAAAAGGGCTGTATTATAAGCACAGCTCCAGAATTAAGGGAACTAAACTCCTAGAACTGTCTAAAATATACATCAGGTCAAAAATTTTAGCCTTTATGTTCTGAAAAATATCCTTTTTCCATCCCTTTTTTAATAAACTGTTGTGATTCCATTGAAAAAGGAAATATTCTTTAATTCAGATCTTCATAATTGATCATGTGATGATCAATCCGTGAACTCATTTATATTGTTACTATGACTCTGTGATTTGTAAAGTGACCAGACTAGAACAATTGGAACAGAATGGGACTAGTCACAACTGCTCCTCTCTTTGGAAATGTGCCATAGTGTCAAACAACTGACTTCAAAATGGTCAAACTCGTAATAAACAAGTAAACTAACCTAAAATGCTATAAGTATTTCTTCCTTTATTCCCTCGGTCTTCCTTTAAAAGTGAGGGGGGGGGGAGGCCTTGAAAATCACTATTTACTTTCTGACAAAAGAAATTCTACTTCCTAATTTTTAAATCTAAATAGACCCTACCTGATTTTTTTCACTTAGAGCTCCATAGTCACATTTGACCTCCTGCCATTTCTAAGGTCAGAAGAATCATATTAAGAAGGCTCTCATTCCTACACAGAATGTTAATTTAACACTAAGTAATGAATATTTAAGGTTCTAATAAATGTGCAAATTAACAATTATGTGGGAGCACCCTGCTGTTAATGCTATCAACCTTTGCATTGCTGCAGAAACTCAATTTGGGCTTTAGTCTTTTGTTACTATATTTTCAACAATGAGTCTTGAGATGCTCCCGGAAGTCTGGGTGGCTTGTGAGTAAACGACCCTAGCAGTGACGTACCCACAGACACTAGTCAACCTGTGAAGCATGAGAGACAATTAGTTGAACCCTTTGTTGAATTTATTTTGAGGTATAAATATTCATTAAGTTCGTCTAAATCAGATTGTGAGTTCTTTGTAGGCCAGATGCCATAAAACATACTTGGAAGGGAATGGCAGTAATTAACCCAGCTAACTTCCCTGGGATTGTGGTATAGCATCAGATCTGGCCCACTGCCATATTTGTTCTGAGCAGACTGAAGTCCCTCCAGAGTGTGCCCATGCCAGATGAAAAGAAAAGATGGTGGAATTTTAAAAACAACCACACACACACACATAGATTTGCCCTCCTAGACACATAAACAGTGAGTCTCAAACATATGATATTATGAGCAATATGTCAAGTGAAGTTAAAAAGAACAACATCAATTCCTTTCTCCCATTGACTTTTGCATTCTGTGCCTTCACAGTAAAAAATGAAAAGCAATAAAATCTGCTAATTGATACAGACCATCATAAATGTTTGTTTTAATCTGTTATTTGAACAGATTAAAATGAATGTAATACAATATTAAATAAAACATAGGAAATAAACTCTGTAGGCCAACAAAAAATGTTGTTGGGAAGAACATTATATCAGTTTTGACTCAAAACAATCCAGTAAATAGAGAAAAATGCCTCCTGATCATATTTAAGATTCAACATATATTGGAGGTGTATTAAAACCACAGAGAAGTTTGTTTTTCAGACTAAAAAACATAATTCTGATTTGTTGCTGTAAATACTAAAAGGAAATTACAACTAGTATTATAGGTGCTAATGATGCTGGCTTTTCACTAAAAACTAAACTATTGTAGTCATTTCCCTGACTTTGAAGAGTAGAAATGTCTTCTCTCAGAAATATTAGTAAAATAATCTAATGTCTTTCACTTTACTCATCTTTTAAAGAATAATACTCTAAATTAAGCATATAATTAACATAAAATAGCATGATAGCAGCACTACATAAAATAATCATGATTTAGAATCTACTCGAGAGAGGCTTCTGTTAATTACAAATAATACTTTATCAAAATACATTCTTAGAGTCTATACTTTTAGAAAACAATATTCATGAACTTTTAAAATTCATCTTTAATGTACATAAATATTTTTAACTAGTGTCCAATACTCTGATTCTATTTTGAAAGGAATCCCACCAACCAAAAGGCAATATGTCTTAGTGACTTGTACTAAAATATGTATATCAACAGGAATAGCTTCTTTGCAGCACATACCAGAATACAAAGACACTTTGCAAATGATAACAGAGTCAGGGAAAGACAGCTACCAGATACAGCCAATGATTACTTACCAATGTGGTCAGAAGATGGGAATATAAATAATTCAAAACCACTGATACTTCCAAATCTCCATTTTAGCTGTGGTTTCAACCTCATTCTCTACTAAAGCACGTTTCAGAGACGAGCAAAAGGGGAAGTTAAGTATTTTGGTTTACATCTTCTTTGATTGCCTTTCCCTCTGGTACAGATGCTAACACAGCAAGAAGAGATTGGGGACTGAGGGATAATAAACATGGCACTCAGGTAATCCAGAGTACAAAACAATCAGCCACTCAGTAATCAAAAATCAAAAACCTTTCAGCCAAACTGGCTGCCAGGACGTATTTCAGATAACGGTGCCTTTGAGTTTCAATAAGAAGCAAAATATCACACAAATTATAGACACATTTAGATGAAACCCCTATGGCAAAACATATCAAAAGCATAAAACACAGAAGGTTTGGTTTTAGGTCTAAGCTTCAGTACACACAGCCACTGGGCCTGTCCTAAGCCCACCACTCAGAAGCCAATAGCAGAACTTCATGTGGTTTCTCTGAGTTACATATCTGACGTGTGGATCATCATCACTCTTGGTACTTCTACTGAGTTATGCAGCCACCAGCTTTATCTGGGTCTTCTCCATCGATTTTAATCCATTTCTTTTCTATTTCAACCTGTTATATAAAAGCAAAACATGGGCAGCATTAGCAGTCCAATTTATACATGAGGCAAGGATGGGCCAGCTCACACTGTGACTTCAAACACAGCCCTCCAGCCTCCCGCTCTAGCTTAGAAGAGTGCTCTCTTTGGGGACTAAAGAACCCCTCAAATCCTTCCCTCCAAATCTGAAGTTCTTTAAGTCAAACATACTGTAAATATGCATCTAAAATATTAACTCATTTTTAATTCCATATTGAGAATACATGTATATATTGATAAGATATTGACAAGTCTGGCTAGATGTGATCAGTTATCTCCTAAAGGATCATATTATACAGTCATTGGCCCACCCAAAATTTAAAACACACTCCAAATTATCTTCCTAAAACAAACTAGTTTACAAACTAGTAACCCAGTTGAGCCAAACCATCTGTCTGTGCTGCTTCTTTTTCTAATCTCATTTCAAATGTCCCCTCCTCATGGAGACCCTCCTGGACCACCCTGGATAAAGGAGTCTCCCCTCACCTCATTCTCAATCCTGTTGCCCTATCATATTCCCTTTTTAGAATTCATCAGTTGTTGAAATAATATTATTTGCTTGTTTACTAATTTTTTGTTTGCCCCCCCACACACACTAGAAGCTCCATCAGGACAGGGACCTTGTCTCACCACTGTGTCTCCCATCTATAGCAATAGCTGGAACTGGGACACAGTTCATCAGACACTAGGTAGCATTATGAAACTAACAGACAGTGGGGATGATCAGGACTTTGAAGAAATAAAGGCACAGATCCATGGTAAACCTGAGATACTTTGTTGTATAATTTTAAGCTGTCTACTAAAACTATGTGAAATTGACATATTCTATAAATAGGGAGGCCGGTATAAGTAAAGTCTCTGTGTGTACTTGACTCACATTTCAGTCATACATAACACTTACACAACTAGTGTTATAGGTCAGGTTCCCAAGAAGCAGATTCTGAGATAAGATTCAAGTGAGAAAGTTCACTGGGGCGTCCTACTGATCACTGACAGCAGCGGGGAGACAGGTGGGCAGAGCAGCCAATATCTGGGAGGCTGACCCTACAGTGGTCCTGTAGACTTAGCCTAGCTGATCAAATGGGGTCTTTATACACTGTATCTACCCATCTCTGGACACAGGTGACCCAGGAGAGGACATGACCTTGGGCAAAGCAGCTCTCTTTAGCCATGTTGGAAAAGTAAGTTCTTCAGTGACAAAAGAAGTACCCAGGACAGCATCTACCCATCATTAATTCTATCAATAGGAAAAAATCACCAGGCTCAAACATATAGACTTCTAAACAGATGGTCCAAAATAAAGAAAAATCCTGGTATATTACAATGTTATAGGATCACTAGTTGGTGTTAATGATGCCTTATATAAAATCACGTGATTTTAATAGGAATAAATGAGTAGAAAATCAGGATGGCATTAATCATAGCTGAGATTCAACCAACACATATATTTAAAATGCTATTAGTATAAATATTGTCCATGTGCAAGACAAAAAGAAAACAAATTCTAAACAGAACCACCTGTTTGTTAAGCACTATTCAATTTCTGTGATTTGCAAAATATTTTCCAATTTTAAAAATATTTGTAAACAAAACCAGCAACATATGTCACCATTTTAAGATACTATAGGAAATATGTGGGAGATATGCTCTGTGTGTGTTTCTAATATATGTTTAATATATATGTATATTAATATGTCTAATATGTTTCTAAAAAGATATATGTATGTGTGTATATACATACCAAACTTTGAAGATAAAAAGGAAAAATAATAATATATATGAAGGAAAAATAAGTTTATAAACAGATGTAAGTGTAATTCACCTGGCTCAAGAGTGCAGAACTAATGGTGAACACTTAAAACTCTTGTAACAGAGTAACTCAGCATTTCTCAAAGGATGCTCCACAGAATACTAGTCCATAAGATATTTTTAAAATATTTTTTTAGTTAGATGGACCTTTATTTTATTTATTTATATGTGATATGTTGAGAATCGAACCCAGTGCCTCACACATGCCAGGCAAATGTACTACCACTGAGCCACAGCCCCAGCCCTCCATAAGATATTGATGTGTGTTTTATACACACATAACCACCAGACAATAGTCCACAGTCAATGAGTTGGGAAAAATTAGACAAGCAAGCTTAGCAATTTTCTTTTCGTAGGACTTTTCAGAACCTTCATTTAGTTAATTTACTATCCCAACCTTTTTTTTTTTTCATTGAATCACTATGAGAGACACATGTTCCACAGCACATGAGAAATGCTATTCTAACACATGTTCCTCAGAACATCTTGGGAAATCTCACATCATAATTTTTGTTACAAATGTACTTCTAAGATATGAGTTCATTTTAAATGTCCTGTTTTTCATTGAAAGTTACAAACTGTTAATTTGTGTTCTCCAGTATGGAAGGGAAGAACTAAGCTCAGTGGTACTACAAAGTTTCCATGGCCAAACTTATTTTCTAGAGCAAATATTATTACACACACACACACACACACACAGTCACTTCAGAGGGTAAAGCAAATATTTAAGCCAAATCAGGCCCCAGTTCTAGATGGCCCAACATGAACCAAGGGGCTCTAGGATGTACCTGGATGTTGTAGCAAGCTCGCTGTTGAACATGTTTCTGTGGCTGGACATCGCTCTCCATCCCCAGAGACCTGACCTCTGTCCTTGAGGCACAGGACTCAGGCATAGAAAACTGAACAGTAGCAAATGGATACCAGTCAGAGGGGATTTCTTGGTCTGATCCAAGTTCTAGTTTGTATGACAGACAGTGGGGATGATCAGGACCTTGAAGAAACAAAATTGAATGGTCAAAGTGTTTTAATGCCCATTGAACATTTCTCCTGAACATAAAAGGCATTTATTTTTTACTTTAATAAGCAATTCCATTGGCATTATAGCAGTACAAATTCTATTTAAACAAAATGCTATCAAATCTACAATTGTGTACCAAGTAGTGGAAATTCCACCTGCATTTTTAAGTACTAGCTCTAAGAAAAAGTATAATTTTAGCCGGGCATGATGATTCAAGTCTCCCAGCATCTTGGGAGGCTGAGACAGGAGGATCATGAGTTCAAAGCCAGATTCAGCCACTTAGAGAGACCCTGTCTCTAAAATTAAAAAAAAAAAAAAGTCATATATGTGTGTGAGTGTGTGCGCATGCGCACGCGCACACATGAGCACACTAGGGATGTGGCTTAATGGTTAAGTACCCCTGGGTTCAATTCCTGGTACAAAAAAAAAAAATTACAATTTTGTTACTGTTACTATATCCCTACAGAGATTAATTTATCAAAATGTTCCCAATTACAAGTATTACAAAGTTTTTTCTCTACTTAAAAGGTAAGAGTAATGTTTATAACGTAATTATTTGGCCACAATGTGCTTTAGCCCTGTGGAAACCTCTTAAGCTCTTACAAGTAACTCTTAATTCATTCATTTTCTTACCACTCCATTTATAGATAATGCAAAGGTAAATTTCAGCCCAAATTAGGTTATATGAAAAAGTATGATTTTGTTAAATTTGAAGTTTTATTACATTTCAAAAAATATTCCAAACTAAGAATTATTTTTTCAGTGGGACAGATTATTTTTCACTACTGTAATTCTCATTCATCCTTCTAAAAAGCTTTGACTGGAACAGATATAGAGTGCAGAGATGGGCATATTGGCATCCAAAATTTCAATCTAATATTTGTTTTCACTCTATCCAATTTGTCATTTATTGAGCATCTACACTACACCAGGGATCTATGCCAGACCCAGAGAGATACTGGATATACTCAAAGATATTAGGTGGGTTCACATATGTGTGTACATGTATTATAATGGAGTATAAAATATTTTCACTGCAGTAACTTTATAAATGATTCATGATCTTGTTGCCATTGTTCATAGCATCTACATATCCAATGTGGCTGTCTTAAATAAATGTCCGTGATGACAGTAATTTCAAAAGCCAGATGAAATTGCTGTACCACTGACATAAATCAAGAACATTTTCATCAGAGTATAGCTTTAGGCACAAAAACAAGAGTTTAAAGAATTTCACTTAATTCTGAAAAGATAAATTGCCTTTCATTCCCTACAACCTGTTTCTTGTAGAGAAACTAATAGAATTCCAAGGCTGTAAAAAGCCTTGAGAAGTTATCAATCAATTAACCAACAGATGTTCATTAGCCACATCCATAGGAAAACAGTGGCCTCTGAGCACTTCTACCCACATCACTACAGGCAAAGTGATGACTTCATTCACACCCCACCCCCCAGGAGAGCTACAATCCATTATCCTTTCTAGACTCTGGCCACAGCCAGGATGCACAAAGTTCATTCACACTTAATTCAGTCCTATGATGGCAGAGTGATTAAGAATCCAACCTCTGCACCCAGACTACCCAGAGGCTGATCCAGCTCTGCTATCTAAGAGCTGTGTGATCCCAGGAAAGTTACTTACTTCTTTGAACCTTGGTTTCTCCATTTGAATGAGGGTAATGATAACATGAGCTTTAGATGGTTTTGTTGTCAGAATCAACCAGTTATATACACACAGAACAGGGAAAGTAGTGTACTCCAGTGGTACAGATGTGCTGCACATGTATTATTAATTTGACAAGTACTACTTGATTTTTATATCCAATATTATTATCTAATTATTATGACTGTGCTAATAAAGAAACTGTGAATTCTACATAGAGTTGAAAATTATACCGGAGATGATCTAATTTTTTTAAAAAAAATTTTGACTTGTAGATGAACACAATATCTTTATTTTTATTTATGTGGTGCTGAGGCTTGAACCCAGTGCCTCACATATGCTAGGCAAGCACTCTTCCACTGAGCTACAACCCCAGCCATAGAGACAATCTAATTTGAGATTCATATTTTATAAGGAAAAAAATAGGGGAAGTTTTTAATAAAAATTTAAGAAAAAAAATTAAACCCAAGATGAAGATCTCATATTTGTACAATGTTAGAAATAAAACCTACCTACTTTTCTAGGGGAAACAAATCGTGAAAAATAAAACCACTTTTTCTCTTCAAGTTTTCTGGGATATTTTTCCTGGCTTTTGGAGTACTCTAAATACCCCATAATGTTTACTAATACACTCCTTAGACTTTGAGCTCCACGATAATGGCTATCCTGGCACGTGGAGCTTAGCTGATTATTTGTCAAGTTCACAGATAAATGAATGAAAGATAAAGGGAAATCCCGTCATCTCAGTTCCGACCACTAGGGGGCACTCCGGGGCTTTGGTACTTGTTACTGTCACAGCCCAAATCTTAGGTCAGGAAATGCACATCACAAAATCTTCTTAGGTCTGTTTTGATATCCAGTTCCCCCTAAACGAAAATATTTAATATCTGAAACTGAATTGTTGAGGGTCCAAAGAAACGAATAATACAAGGATGACACACCAAAGTTCCTATGGCAGAGAGGCACAGTGGTGCACTCCTTATAATCCCAGCAGCTTGGGAGGCTGAGACAGGAGGATCACGAACGAGTTCAAAGCCAGTCTCAGCAAAGGTGAGGCGCTAAGCAACTCAGTGAGACCCTGTCTCTAAAGAAAATAGAAAATAGGACTGGGGATGAGGCTCAGTGGTTGAGTAACCCTAAATTCAATCCCTAGTATCAAAAAGAAGAAAAAGAGAACTATTGGTAAGAGAGAGAGACATGTTTGCTAATAGACACTCCAGCACTGCCATTATTACCCTTTCCAATTCTATGCCACTGTTTACACCGCCTGTGGCTAATCAGGGTTCTCATTCTCTTTCTGGGACTCTCTCTCTCTTTCCCTGCTCCTTCCTCTCTCTCCCCCAACAAGGCCTAAGCTCCTAGTTCTCCTTCCCACCTCAGTGTGATGAAATCTATGAGCTCCCCGCCCAGGCCAACCTTTGCTGTAAAGGAACAGTGAGAATGGAAGAGCTGGTAGAGAGACATTTCAGAGACCTGCAGCTCATCCCACCTCTCCTGAAATCGCAGGGGATTTCACCAATAGGAAAGGTTAAGCCAGGCTCACAATTTCCCAGGAAGAAAAGCAAAAGCAAAAATATTTTTAATTAGTGCATAGTAGACTAGTTCATATGTTCTCCACCAGTTTCTACAAAATATCTAATAGTAAAGGTTTTTCAGAAACTGGTTTGGAAAGCATGATATTTAAAAAAATTTTTTTAAAGTCTTGTCCTCTAAACACACAAATCATATAAAAAAGCACACCGAAAACTAGAGATGACTTCTAGGACCCAGCTACTGTGTGTGTGGTCCACAGGGCCACACCAGCACTTGTTAGAGATACAGGAGTGTCAGCCCCAGCCCCAGAGTTGGCCTCCATTTTAACACGGTGGTTCATGTGGAAGCTTATTAAGAAACACTATCCTGAGACAAAGGCTTCCCCTCAGTCCCAATCTTCCTCTGCCTCCACCTCTTCTCAAGAGGCAAATCAGACTGCAGCCTACCAGGCACTTTCCTGTTCTCTGCATTGTCCTTCTCCCTCACATAACCAGCCCCCTTGGACCTGCACTGTCCTCTCCCCACTCTGACACAGCCCTCTTCTCCTTGTCTGGACCTTGATCTAATCTTGGCACCCAGATCTAATCTTCACCAAAGCTTTGATCCCTAAGGATTTGCTCAGACCACTATCACTGTACAATTGACTGAAATGCTTGTAAAATGCTATTCTGTATGGGCTTGGCGCTCTGACAATCTCCAGAAAGAATCCCTGAGGGCCAAGATCAAGTCCAACCAAAGTCCATTCTTGTAATTGTTCTCATTGAGCCCAACTGCTGGTAAATACCAGTAGGAAGTGACTAACAGGCCTCTAGAAGACAGGAACACAGGGAGCAGGAGGAATGATCTCTGCCTAAGAGACTAGATAGGGTTTCACAGGACAGTGACCAGGTCAGTAGTTCTCCTGAGCCCTGGCTGCAGTAGAAAAGCTTTTCACAAACATTAAAAACTGGTCCTCAGCCCCAGAGATGTGTTAGGGGCTTAGGTGTGTAGATGGGTACAGGTTGAACATCCCTTATTTGAGATGCTGGGGACCAGAAGAACTCCAGATTGCAAGTTGTTTTGTTTTTGTTGATGATGATGTTTTTTGGTTTTTTTTAATTTCATAATATTTACATAGACATAATATCATTGGAATGGGACAAAAGTCTAAACAAACTTCATTTATGTCTCATATATACCTTATACATATAGCCTGAAGCTAATTTTATACACTATTTTAAATAATTTTCTGCATAAAACTGAGTTTCATGGAATGGAATTTTCCACTTAAATGCTCAGAAACTTTCAAATTTGGGAGCATTTTGAATTTGTGGATTAGAAAAGTTCAACCTGTATGTTTTTAAAGCTCTAATGTGTCTAACATGCAGCCAGAATGGGGAAGCAGACTATTCACTCCAAAATGGGGAAACAGACTATTCACTTATTTACTTATGTGGTAAATAAGTATATTGATATCCAGTCCCCCCTGAACCAAAATATTTAACATCTGAAACTGAATTGTTGAAGGTCCAACGAAACGAATAATACAAGGATAACACACCAAAGTGTGGTTACTGGGAGTACTGGGAATTGAACCTGGGACATATACCACTGAGCTATATTCAAGCCCTTTTTATTTTTTAAGACAAGGTTGCAGTAAGTTGTCCAGGCTGACCTCAAACTTGCAATCCTCCTGCCTCTGCCTCCAAGTAGCTGGAATTATAGGCATGCACCACCATGCCCAACACAGACTTAATTTTAAAAAGGTGAATGATTGACAGATCCTAGGCTATCTCAGCTAATGGCAACACCATTCCCCACACCAGACACCCTGACTTTGTCCCTCCTGCCTTGCCCCCATGCCCAATCTGTCATCATCTTGGAGGAACCTCCTCTGAATTTCCTTATCCTTCCTTGTCAGCCTCCCTGTATCTATAACCTACTCCTGCATACCTCCCCTGCACTACACACCTGCCTTTCCAAAATGGGGTATGATACTGTCACAGTCATACCTGAGGACACCTCTGAGGACTTGGTGACAAACTCCACACCCCATAACATGGCTCACAAGATCTTCATGTGCTTCTTTCTTCTCCTACCACTCCCCAATTTTTAGTAATTACCCACCTACAGGCCTGTGGTTCTGCTGTTTATATTCTGAGTGGAATCTGCTGATAGTTCTGTGCCAAGCTTAACCACCAGCTCTTGAGTAAAGCCTTCCCTCATACCCAGGCTTATCTCTCTTATTTCTGGGATCTCCACTGTGCATGTGTGTGCGTGCTGGAATAGCATACTTCTCCCCAGTGCACCTGGGGGGTTGCTCCTGGGTCTGTCTCACCTGCTACACTTACACATCTCTGGAGAACAGGGATCATGTTTGTGTATCTCCCCAGCATCCAGCACAGAGTCTGTAGCTGGAGGAAATTTAGTGGGTCTGCAATGAAGGAATGAGTCCTCCTCTCAAGAAATTCTTGTTGATTCCATCCATTATCTATACCATTCATGCTAGGAAAATCCAGTGTTATAACAGGATTATTTTCACAAGAAACTTTATATGCTGGTTCCACTTCCAAAATTAAAAAAAAAAAAAAAAAAAAAAAGTATGAGTTCAGTTTGCAAAATAAGTGGCGGCCCTGGCCAGGTTAAACTGAGTGCTTAGTCCTTTCAGTTCCTCCAGGACTACCTGCTCCAAGCAGGTTATTGAGTGAGAAGGACAGTGCAGAGAAGCAGCAGGATGGTCTCCCTGTCTCTCTGCTCCCAGCTGGTGAAACCAGCAGGCTGAGCTCTGCACTCCTCTCTCAGATGCATAATCACTACCACAAATCTATGAAAAAAACATGTTTGATCTTTTGCTCCAACAACCATCTCTAGGACCAACAGAAAACTCCGGGAGTTGAGTTATCAGCCCTCAGGGGAGGCCTCTGGTTCTAGGAGGTTCCAGTAGGCATTCCAGCCTGCCTGCCTTCCCAGCTTTCTTTCTTTTTTTTTATTTCCTTTAATAAGATAAAAGCCAATATATCCTGATTTTGTTTAACCCTCACAACCTCAAAGTAGCACAAGTAGCTTTCACAAAAGATCACTGAAAACCTGGTTCCCAAGATCTTCTACTTGTTTCCCTGGCATGCAGACAATGTGAGAACCATTCAACTTGCCTCAACAGACTAGTTATAAAAGAAGGCAGGAGAAGATCTCTGTGGAATACATCATGGAAGATTCTGACCTTCTCATCACACTGGAGTTGGCCAGAAGGTGCAGTCAGAGGCTATCCATTGGGACCATGCTAACCCAGCACTCCCCACCCTGCCTGGGCCCCAGCTAACCTTGCTGGGGAACAGACTCCCAGCTAATGTGGGAGTCACAAGAACACTGAGGGGTGGAACACAGCTTTAATGAAGGAGAAGACTACAGTGTGGGGACTTCTCTTCTGGACAGGGACCTAGGTTCCTCAGTCCTCCAAGTCTATGTCTCTCACTTGCTGATCTTTGTCTGTAGCTCAAGCTCTAGTCAGTTGACAGATGTCACCAGAGAATTACAAGTCATGGAGAAGGTGGTCCACAGCCACCCGGGGAGCACTCCATGCTGCCCCTCTATCCACGGTAGCTGGGGCTTGCTCTTCCTGCTTTAGATCATTACAAAGTCTGTAGGGAAGTATACACTGCCCTGCAATGAGATTCACTTGGGAGCTCTCTAAACATGATGGTACCTAGGCCCTTGCCCTAGGGGTTCTGACTAAATTGGCACAGAGCAGGGCCTGAACATCCAGATTATTTACAAGCTCTTGGGACATTCCAACTTATGGTCAGGTGTGAGAAACACTATCACAGGGCCATCCCAAGTAAAAGTTCTTCTTCTCAAATCCACAGGCTGGAGAGTTCTCAGATGAGCTTAAATTTCCCTAAAGGACTAGAGCAGCCATGAGCTATTTGGAAACAGGGACCAGATCTTACCCAGCTTTACCCTCACACTTGCTACTGCACTTGGTATACAGTAAGTGCTCAGTTTGACGGAATACATGAGTGAATGAATGAGTGAATGAATGAATGAATGAGTGCATCAACTCAGATCTCCCAAACCTGCCCAAATTCACCTCCATAACTAGAAAAATAACTTTTAAGAAAGGAATAGCCCTAATTTCCAAATTTCCCTTGTTGTTTCATGATATCAAGCCCACTACTAACTTACTATTCTAAAATGAATGTGGGGCTAGAACTGGCTTTTCAAAATTCTGACCTTCTAGATTGCTTGCTCTGCAGATTTTTAAAAATAAACTGAATTTTTAATACTTGGATTGTGTCTAATTCTAAAACAACCATTTGAGATAGTTAAATAGGTAAATTCAGCCCCCCAAAAATCAATTTGGTTAAAAAAAAAAAAAGTAAGCCAGTCTTATTTCCAAGAGCAGGGAGGGAGCAAAACCTAAGGAGGAAGCATACTGGCTAAGAATTCAAAAAAGTTCAAGTGTACTCATGAATGGCAGGTCTTTAAAGATTAATTAGGGAATCTAAGCTATGTTAGAAACATTTTTAATATTTGATGTTGACAGGTTGATGTCAAAAAGCCCAAGGGTATGTCTGCATATTTTCCCTCATGCACCATCCACAACAAACTCCTAGCCCAGGATCCTCTCTCTTCAGATATTAAGAAAGATGTAAAAAGTTAAACTTCTGTGGTAGAAATAGGCCCAAAAGGAAACAAATAAACCAGCTGTTGGGCTAACTGTTCCCTTTCCCACAGGTCTAGGTGAACTGGCCTCAGCTGACAAGTTACCATCTGTCTCTGCCTGGTTGCAACCCAAGGAGAAGGGAAAAAACATTTATGTTATTTCCTAAGAAAATCAACTTAGGTGTTGAATATTTACTTGAATTTTTATCAGGAAGCCGATCTATCTTCCACACCACAGCCCGGTAGGCACTCTCATATTTGGCTGACCCCACAGTGACCTGAATGACAGGTTCAGATTCAGGTTCATGTAAACTCCCCAGACAGGCCCTGCGGTTCATTTTGGCTTTCAGGGACTTCTGCCTCTGGAGGTTCATGGTCCAGAGAGCCTTGATCCACTGAGACGGGACAGGAAAGTGTATCATTATATTGTCACAGCACCTCAAGGAAGTAGAGTGGGATGGCCTCTGAGCCAACGGGGCCATGTTGACAAAGGCCTGAAGTTCCACGTAGGCGCCTTGGACAACCACGATGGACTTCACAGAAAAGGGAAGCTCGTCCCCATCATACAAAGTCTTAAAACGCATCAGCTCAAACCGGCAGGCATCAAGAGGGACAAACTTAACGATTCTTGACTGCTGATATTCTTGTCCTTTCACACACTTATGAAAATGGTAGTCAAGAATCTCGATCCACTTCTTTTCTGGATCTTTTTCAAAACAGCATTCATCTTGCTTTTGCAGTCCAAGGTCATTCAAGGTTAAAAAGCACTCCACATTCCCATTCACAAAGCAGAGGCAATGGATTTGAGTTATGACAGCACTTTCAACCAATTTCCCATCCTCTTTTGTGACTTTACCCCAAAAGTTGTCCACAATTTCCAGGGAAATTTCTTGCTCCTCATAGTTCTTCTTTGGTTTGGGAACGACTGGCAGCTTCAGCAGCTCCTCCTCCACAGTAGTCAGAAAGTCCAGGAAGTCCCGGTACTCTGTGGACCCCAACTTCAACATCTGCTCTACGTCTGGTTCATGAACGACTTCTGTCTTAGAATGGTATTTCCTTTTTTCTGTGTAAGACACATGTTCAATCTTCACAGTATGGATTTTCCCCGCCACACTAAAGTTCTCAACTTTGGGTTCAGAAAGTCTGCAATGTGGGTCAAGCTGGAACTCTTTGAATGGCTTCTCCAAGCCCTTCTCATAATACATTTGCAAAATTCCTCCGGGTAAGACTTTCAGAAAAATTGGGCCCCATTGCCGGGAAGACATCATGTTCTTCTTTTCAGGGATTCTCAGCATGAAGGACCATCCGGCTTTGGGCTGACTCCTGAAAAGCGTATGGGGGACAAAGGAAGAGATAGAGTCTTCGGCATAGGGACACTGCGCAGACAAATTTCCAAGAGGGTCTTGGTGCTCGGCTGACTGGAAGTGTTCAAGCTTCTCACAGATGTAGTCAAGGGAACATTTATTTAGGCTTTTTTGATCCATAGGCATCTCCCTGTCTCTTGATGAGAAAGTCTTTCTGCTTCCCAAGGGGTCAAAGGTGAACTGAGAAGTGCTGCCTTCATCTTTCCAAAATGGACTTGAAAAAGCGCAGTCCTCCTGAAAATACTGAAACTGGGGAGCATCACTTTGCAGACCTCCACCTTCAGCCTGCTGAGGACTCGTTTCATCTGAGAGACCCACTCTGGGAGCTGGAGGTGTACATGAGGGGTCCTTAGGTACGAAAGCCTGGGAGACACAGGTGGACTTAGTAGACAATAAGGAGGAACCTGTTCCTGCTGGCACAAGTGGACAGTTTGGAGAAGATTCTGGAATGGGATAAAGGACATGAACCCCTGATTTAGGGATGCTGGGAAAACCTGGGAAGTCTTTGGTTGGTGTAGAAAGGGGAGAATTACTTGGAGGTCCCGGACTAAAGTAAAAATCAACAATGGGAGAAGACAGCGGGGTACTGCTGGTGGAGGAAGGCCCACTGGGAAATTCTCTGAGACCAGGCAGGTTCAGTTTAAGTCCATTTGGTCTACAGACACTTTGATTCTCCAGAGGGAAATTCTTGGACTTTGGAGAAGACTGAAAAGCAGGGTCGTCATCAAAGGTGACCCAATTGCCTGGGTTTGTGGAGCACATCTTCAGGAGGAGGCTGTGGCCTTGTCAAGGAACCAGATATGTTGTCTCTGTTCAAGGAGAAAGAGAAAATAGGCATAGAAAATAAAGAGGAAAAAAACAAGTTACTAGAGGTCTTTAGTTATGAAAAACACTTGGATATACAAGTACACATAATTACTGAGTACAAACAAGTGTTTAGAGATGAATTCTTTTAATAGCTGAATGGATATTATATTTTTAAAAATGATCCAACTGTAGGCTGTCTACAGGAGACTCACTTTGGTTTAAGAATACATATAGGCTAAAAGTGAACAGATGAAGAAGGATACTCCATGCACCTGGAGATCAAAGTAGAACAGGGAAGGTAGTAGCTTAAATCTAGAATGTCCCCCTAAAGGCCAATGTGTTAGGAGGCTTGGTTCTCAGCTCCCTGTACAAATGAGAGGTGATATAGCCTTTAGGGCCTAGTGGGATGAACTAAGATCACTGGGGGTGTGCTCTTGAAGGAAATTGTGGAACCCCATTTTTTCCTCTCTCTTTTTGCACCCAGCTGAGATGACTGGGCTTCCTCTTCCATGTGCTTCTGCCATGAGATGCTGCCTTGTCACAAGCCCAAAAGCAGGGGCCAAGCATGGACTCAAACCTCCAAAATTGTAAGCCAAAATAAACCTTTCAGATTTTTAAGTTTATTATCTCCAGTATTGTATAACAGTAACAGAAAGCTAACACAGGGGGCCATATTTATATTAGATAAAACAAACTATAAGTCAAAAACTGTTAGATAAGACCAAAAGAACTTATAATGGTAAAAAGGCCAATTCATAAGGAGGCAATAACAATTATATATGAACCCAACATCAGAGCAACAAAATATATGAAACAAACATTGACAGAAGAAAGAAACAGACAGCTATTACGGTTTCAATATTAGGTGTCCCCCAAAAGCTTCTGTGTGAGACAATGCTAAAGAAACTTTAGAGATGAAATGATTGTGTTATGAAAGTCTTAATCTAATCAGTGCATTAAATCTCTGATAGGGATTAACTGAGTGGTAACTATAAGCAGGTAGGGCGTGGCTGTAGCTGTGGCTGGAGGAGGGGGTTCCCTGGGCTGTGCCTACCATGATATTCTGCTTCACCTTAAGGAATGGAGCTAATTGTCTATGGACTGAGACCTCCGAAACCATAAGCCCCAAAATAAACTTTTCCTGCTCTAATTGTTCTTGTCAGGTCTTTTTGGTCACAGTGGTGAAAAAGTGGACTAAACCAAGAGCCAAACAATATTAGGAGATTTCAATATACTACTTCTTTTTTTAATACTGGAGATTGAACTCAAGGGCATTCTACCACTAAGCTACACCCCAGTCCTTTTATTTTTCTTTTCAGGCAGAATCCTGCTAAGATGTCCAAACTGGCCTTGAATTTGTGATCCTCCTGCTTTAGCCTCCTGAGTAGCTGGGTTTATGGGTGTGCACTACTGTTCCCAGATTCCATATCCCACTTTAAATAATAATTACATCATCCGGACAGAAGATCAATTAACCAAGAAAAGACCGAGGACTTGAACAACACTATAGATTAAATGGACCTACCAGACAATATGCAGAACATTCCCAACAGTGGCAGAATGATTACACATTCTTCTCAAGCACACAGAACATTCACCAGATCACGTTAGGTCACAAAACAAGTCATAATTTAGGAAGACCAAAACCACACAAGTATCTTTGCCAACCACAATAGAATAAAACTGGAAATCAGATACAGTAGGAGGAATCAAATAATATCTGGAAAGACACAAATATGTGGAAATTAAACAAAACACAACTCAAATAATGGATAAATGCCGCAGTCTGGCTGGGCAAAATAACCGGAGGTGGCGGGGGGGACAAGCAACTTGTGAAGATTGATACAGTGGGAGCCCCTTTATTGTAGGACAGCAGAGGTATATATACATAACTGAATACACAGCTTGACTCAATTTAGCCTCATCCAGTTACAGCAATCAGTCATTAAGGAATCCTCATCATCTTAATAATTATACACAGCTTAACTTAATTGACATAATCTAGACACAGCAGTCAGTCATTAAGGAATCTCCATCATCTTAATGGCTCAATGGCGTTACTGCTCAAACCACTCCTCCTGGCAAAGTGCCAGGTGCCATCTTGACTTGTCTGTGTCCCTCAACAGATAAACTGTATAGTCCACACATTGCAAACAAAAAAAGGGGGTAGCAAGAGACAGAATTAGAAAATATCCCAAGACAAATAAAAATGAGCATAACAAATTTAAGGCAAGAGCAGTACAAAAGGGAAATTAATGGCCATAATGTCTACATTAAAAAATAAGAAAAATGTCAAAAGAAGTAACATCACTTTATGCCTCAAGAAGCTAGAAAAAAATAAACTAGGTCTAAAATTAACAAAAGAGAAAAATAATAGAATACAGCAAAAATTGATGAAATAGAAAACAGAGCTGGCTGGGTAAGGAGGCACATGCCTATAATTCTTGAGACAGGAGTCCCCTGTGTTTCTCCTTTGCTAGCAAAGCAATAAAATGTTTTCAAAAATAAATAAATAAATAAATAAATAAGAAGAAGAAGAAAATTGAAAATAGGAACAAAAAGCAATGAAACTGTGAATTGCTTTTTTGAAAAGATCAACAAAAATGACAAATCTTTAGCTAAACTCATAAAGGATACAAACCTTAAAATTAGAAATAAAAAAGATGACATTACAACGAATACCCCATAAATAAAAGGTATTCTAAGTGACTACTATGAACAATCATATACTAACAAATCAGATTACAAGAGAAATGGATAAATTTCTAGAAACATACAACCTACCAATACTGAATCATAAGAAAACAGAATATCTGAACAGACCTATAACTAGTAAGATAATTCAATTAGTGATGAAAAATCTCCCAACCAAAAAAAAAAAAAAAAAAATTCAGGACCAGATGGTTTCCCGGCTGCTTTCTACAAAACACTCAAAGAATTGATGCCAAACTCTTTCAAACTCTTCCAAAGAACTGAAGAGGAGGGAACACTTCCAAACTCATAATGCCAGTGTAACCCTGACACCAAAGCCAACGAGACACTACAAGAAAAGAAAGCAAAGGCCAAATATTCCCAAGCAAATATAAATGCAAAAATCCTCATTAAAATCTCTGGAAACCAAATTCAACTGCACATCAAAATGATCCTACACCATAGCCATGTGGGATTCATCCCTGAGATGCAAGGATGGTTCAATGTGCAATAATCAATCAACATGATCCACCACGTTAACAGAATGAAGGATAAAATCGACACAATCTTCTCAACAGATAAAGAAAAAGCATTTCATAAAATTTAACAAATACTTTCAAGAAAAAAATATTCAGATTAGTAATAAAAGAAAATTCCCTCAATATAATTTCCATGTATAAAAATCCCAAAGATAACACCATAAATCCCAATGATTTTCACCAACTAACAACAAATTATCCAAAAGGGAAATTAAGAAAACAATCTTATGTGCAATTATATCAAGAGGAAGAAAATACTTAGTAATAAACATAACTAAGGAAACAAAAGAATATAAAACATCGAAACTATCTAATGTCACTGAAAAAAATTAAGACACAAATATGTAAAAAGATGTCCGTTACTCATGGATTGGAAGATTTAAAATTGTTAAAATGGCCATACCACCTAAAGCAATTATAGATTCAATATAGTTCTTATCAAAATCTCAATGGCATTTTTTATCAAAAATAGAAAAAATTATAAAATTCATATGGAACCACAAAGGATCCTAAATAGTCAAAACAATCTAGATAAAAAGAACAAATCTGAAGGCCTCACACCAATTGACTTCAAACATATACCAAAGCTAAGATAAGCAATACGGTTCGGTACTGGTCTAAAGGCACATCTGCAGACTAATTGGACAGATGGTACAGTCTTGAAATAAATCCATGGTCAATGATACCTGATAAGGGTGCCAAGAATACACAACGGGGAAGGGATACTTTCTTCAACAAAAGGTATTCAGAAAACTGCATATCCCCACACAAAACAATGAAATTGCTACTTCATCTTACACCAGACACAAAAATCAACACAGGATGGATAAAAGACCTAAGGTAAGACCTAAAAATGTCAAACTCCTAGAATAAAATATGGGGGAAATTTTCATAATTTTGATCTTGGTAATGATTATTGAATATGACACCAAAGTACAGGCAACTAAAGCAAAAATAGACAAATCGGACTTTATCAAACCAAAAAGCTTCTGCATAGCAAAGAAACAGTCATGCAAACCATATATATGATAAGGGGTTAATATTTTTAAAAAATACATAAGGAACTCAAATAATTCAATAGCAAAAAAACAAATAATTTGATTAGAAAATGGACAAAAGGACTTAGATATTTCTCCTCAAAAGACAGAGAGCCAACACATACATGAAAAGATGCTCAGCATCACCAATCATCAGAGAAAGACAAATCAAAACCCGAGGAATCATGTTGTACCTGCTAGAAGGATCAGTATAAAAAATAAACAAATAGGGCTGGGGATGTAGCTCAGCGGTAGAGCACCTGCCTTGCATGCACAAGGCCCTGGGTTCCATCGCCAGCACTAGTTGAATGAATAAATAAATCAAAAGTTGGCAAGATAGTACAAATAATGGAACTTCTGTACATTTTTGGTGGGAATGTTAAAATGGTACAGCCACTATAGAAAACAGTATAAAAGTTCCTCACAAAAATTAAAAATATGGCTACCATATTTCCAAACAATCCACATCTTGGTATTTATCCAACAGAATTGAAAACAGGATCTTAAAAAGAGATTTTCACTCCCATGTTCCTTGCACCCAATTTTCACAATAACCAGCAGGTGGAAACAACCTAAATGCTGACTGATGGGTGAAAGAATAAAGAAAAAGCAGTATATGCATACAATAAGATACTTTTCAGTCTTAAATTAAGAGAATTCTTTTTTTTTTTTTTTTTTTTTTTTTTTTTTTTTTTTTTTTTTTAAAGAGAGAGTGAGAGAGATAGAGGTAGAGAG